TTGGCCAGTCGATGAACGATTCGAAACTCAGGATTCACACGGAAGTCATTCAGGGCTGAAAATCATCGACCCTACTCTGGTTTACTTTATTTCACAACTTGCTGATTCGCGTGAACTCTAGTATTTTCTTTTTGAACTAAGGTCCAATTCCATCAGTTTGTCAAAAAATATGTTTTTCAGCGAATAATTTTGAAGCCTGTCACAGCACAAAAATATGTGAATCGACGCCGAAGATTGGATTGTACGACGACCCTTCAATTAGCGTCAAATATGCTTTGTTACAACATCATTGATTGGCTGAGAGTCACCTGATCGGAGCACGACCTGGGTCACATAACCATATTTGTCCGTATTATCAACAGGACTTTGCAAGATAACCACACCCACATTTTCAATCTTTTTTAGCGCGGAAGTTGCCAACAAATGTAAAAAAAATCCTGAATTTCATGGATTCGAATAAAATAAAGCAAGCGATTGATAACTTTAAAGGATGATTATTAATATTTTCCCCGATGCTCTTCGAATTTTTATTTTTTTTATTTCAAGGTAAGAAATGGCTAGTTGAAGTTGCATCGTCTTCAATGCGGTTGTTTCACCCCGAACAACTCTAGCTCTGTTTTGGGCATGGTTTAGTTTTGCGATGTAAAATAATATATATATATTAAAATAATAATACTTGTTTAATTATTTGGGGTTTCAGCCCACAAATTACGGACATGATCTCCATGAATTACGGTCAATGTTTGTCTTCTCTCGGCTGATTGTCAAACAAACAATCGAAATTATCAATGAAAGACGAGATTTTTCTAGATATTTACAAACATACTGTCATGACAAACATATGTAAAATTAACAAATACACAAAGAGGTGTAATATTAGGTTTTATTTTAGGCTTAGAAATATTTTCTTTCACTCAGCCCATGCATGAAACTGCCATTTAGCTTTACGGTCCTTCAGCATCGGGGGAAAACAACAATAATTATACAAAACACATTGCGAAGACTCAACAATCAGGAAAGAAACCCCAGACAACCATGTCGTACTTGTGTTGAAATACATTTTGTATTTCACGTCAGAATAGTGTTTAAAATAAAATATTCATTCCAAGCCAAATCGAGGTCAAGGAGTCAGGTTGCGTGCATATAATTATAGATAGTTAAAACAAAAAGTATTTGAACTTTTGTCAGCTGTTCAACATCTATAAAAACCAGAAAGACAATTATAAGACAATGTGAACCTCGGAAATTATTCTGTTAGTCCGAATTTTAAATGCGCGCGAGCGAGCAGGTGGGCGGTGATGTTTCAGTGTTTGCGCGGTCAAAAAAAACAA